TATTGATACCGATATATATTATAGTAAATTATTTAGCTCTTTATATACATTTTAGCCACTATTAAGAGCCGCTGGAGAGGGTCCAAAGAGCCATATGTGGCTCTGGAGCCGCAGGTTGCAGACCCCTGCTCTATCCTGTATGACCTCTGCTCAGTGGACTGTTTACATGTACATGACCCCTGAACTGACATCTTGGTTTCCATAGATGCCAAATTAATCACTTTGCGTATTTCTTGGCACTTAAAAGTCTAAAAGCACAACTGACTCAATTGTTTTGCTGGAGATTTTTCTACATGTGTTTTGAACTTAAAGTTTGAATCCCAAATTTACAAGTTGTAAAAGACTAACAGGATCCACAAAAGGTAAGAAATCCAGACCTCTGGATTATCATTAATCTTGTTGTAGCAGTTAAAAATTAGGCCAGATATTTACCCTTGATGAATCGCTGATGAGATCATGGGAGGTTTGTTGTTCTGTTAAACCCCTATAACCAGCTTTGGAGCATTTTTAAGGTGGTGCAGTTGTACAGTAAAAAACACCAGGTTTGCTTTTGGGGGCTACAGTTTTAACTCCTTGAAAAAAGCTACAACTTCTTGGTATTCTGTTTCTGTTAGGTGTTGGAATCTACCATGACACCAATCCTGTTTATGGTGTTCTTCAAAAGGATCTCAGAGCATATTGAGAGGACGGAAGATGCAGGTGTGAAGCATGTGATCCTGATGCCTGCTTTTCTCCCCCTGGTGTTTTATTTTATTTTCATTATACTGTCACAAGTACAGAGCAACGAAATTAATTCTCTGCACTAAAGCCATCCCCTTGGGGATGCAGTGGGCTGCCATAGTGCAGCGCCTGGGAAGCAGTACTCAGAGACCCAGAGTGGCAGTCCGTGGGAGTGGGGTTTGAACTCAGAACCTCAGGATTCCCCAAAGCAGACATTAGCGTGAAGGGTGTTAGAGTTACAATTATAAAATTAATGTGCATGGATATGAAACATTGAAGAAATAAGATGCTACATTTCTGTCCTGTGATTCAATCAGGAGGGTCATAAACTTTTATGACCTGCATCCAGTACAGTAGGTCATGAGGCAGAGTCACACTGTTGTGTGACCTGCATCCTGCCAGATAATCATTACAGGGTTTCCTTTTTAAGACCCGCCCTATTATGTTGTAAACTGTTCATAAAAGGCTTTGCTGTGAAGGGAACTGGGAGAAAAGGTGCTGGTTGTGAGCTAGCAGTTCTTCTCCCCTGTGCAGAGGTTGACGTTGCAAAATCCCTGTCTGTGTTTGATCATTTTGTCCTCTTAAACTCACATTTCTCTGGATTTAAACCCAACAAAGGGTCTTACCCAAGGACTCACACTCATGGGATACTAACCCAGGCTTCCTGTTTTGCGGGACGGTTGACTTCCACTTGAGCTAGCCAGATTGGCTACCTTCTACCATGACCAATCATGGGTGAGTGGTAGACAATTCATTATGCAAAAGAGAGCAGCTAACACAATGGCTTTCCTGACTATTTTTTTCCCTTTCCAATTTCTAAAGCAAATCATTACATCTTATTTTAAATTTTAAAAATGAAACTGGGGCACAAAAAGAAGAAAAAGTAAAACTGCAGACATTTTATGTAGGAAAATACCAACCCTTGTTTTTTGGTATATTTAGAAAAGGCAGAGAGAGTTTATCCTATTTTGATAACCTGTCAAGTAAAGCCATCTGTGACTCACAGGTAGACCTCTAGGACCTGGTGGTCCAGGGATGCCTGGATCTCCCTCCAACCCTCGTGCTCCCATGGGACCCGTTGCTCCTGCGTGTCCTGGCTGACCTGGTCTCCCTTCAGCTCCTGTAGATCCTCTTTGACCTTTTTCTCCACGCTGGCATGGAAACATAAATCGTTAAAGTATGTTTTTCCCTTGATTAAAAACCAGAATGCTTTTGGTGGACTATTTAGCTTCAGCAGAAGACTCTTCTAGACTCTTCTACTGTTAAACATTTAAGTTATTGTGGTAACTTAATTAATTCATACCTCTCCTTTGATGCCAGACACACCAGGAGGGCCCTGGAAGACATCGGGACAATCTATTAGATCCAAAGAGGGATGAATGTCTATTAAAAAAATATAAAGATAATACCTGATCTCCTTTGACACCAGGGTCTCCTGTCAGGCCTGGATCTCCCTGTTTTCAAAAGGTGACATGATGAATGTGTAATTATTAAACCACATGGTGGAAATTATTCTATCATCATAATGACTCTTACCTGACTTCCTTTTGGTCCTACAGGCCCAGTTGGTCCCTAAACTCCGGAATCAAAATGATAATGATGTGCTGATGGATTCCCATAGCGCTCAGTACTTTAGCAAAACTCAACTAAGAACAGCTATTCTCCCACCTGATCGCCTTTATGGCCTGTATGACCTTTCAATCCTTTGGGCCCAGTAGCTCCTTTATCTCCTTTGTCACCCTGATAATGGAAAATTCAGAATAAAGGTAGCGGACACATACAGAAAAAGATTAACAATAATGTCCATGTAGAATACCGTCTGCTTTCCAAACATTTAAAAGTGTGAGTAAATAAGCTACATTACCAGCATTCCACACTGTACACTCTTATTCAATATGTTAGAAAAGTTCTATAAAGTTTGTTTAAAAAGTAGGTTAATGGCTTACAGATTTCAGTTTTAAAGCTTTATTTCAGTTAGCGAACTATATACTATGGAGGCCTAAAGAGGACAAAATGAAATAAATAAATGTACCATGAAATAAATAAATATGACAGGAAATAAATGTAAATTGAAATAATGAATTGTCTTAAATATTTATCAATTTGTTTACTTAATAAATTATTGATTAACTAAATGTTTCATTAAATAAACCCCTTTGAAATTGATATTAGGGGATGCAGTAAGCTCAAAGTGTTAGCTTTTTTAAAGCTATTTAGCAGTAATTTTAAGCTAAACATTACGGCAACATTTTATTTAGCAAAGAAAAGTGTGGTAAGGCTAATTTTTTTTGTTAGTTCTTGCAACAAAAACACATTTCTACCTAGAGACGAGATTTTAAACTACATATATCTCACCTGGATTCCCTTTGGACCAACAGGCCCCATTGGTCCTTGTTTTCCTGTTGCACCCTGCATTACAGAAATAAAAAAATCACATCATTATTTGTAAGAAAATAGAAAATTACAAACATATGGAAAATAATTAATCAGTTTCATCTAACAGACTAAAATAAATGTTTTATGGATCACAAATATAAGGTATTTCTTAATTTGAACAGTTTATCAAAGGTAGCAATTTGGACCCATTTTTGGAAGCAAAAACCAAATAATCAGGCAAAAAGAAAAGAAAATTGAAGCAAACCCACAGTGGGTCCTTTTTCTCCCGGTTTTCCATCCTCCCCATCATTTCCAGGCTGCCCCTGCATGAAAACAAAGATAAGTTTGTAAATAATACACTTGCAGGATAGATAAATAAATAAGCTACATATTTAGTCTGTGGCTTCTCACAGTTTTTCCAGGAAGCCCAACCGGTCCCATTGGTCCTTCTGAACCAGTCTCACCCTAAATCCATATAAAGAATAACACTGAGTTTTCAGAAATAATCGTTTGTTTGCATAAATGTTAAAGAAAGAGAAGTTTGCTTAGCAGGTGTCAAATTCTGGTCATGATATCATGCTTCCCCAAAAGATGATTAATATGATTACCTTTTCCCCAGGAGGACCAGCTACTCCCTGCTTTCCTGGCAGACCCTAAGAACAAAACATATTATTTGTATATAAAAAAAAATATACATTGGTTTAGTTTGCATAGGTTCCAATAACATTGAAGTCATTCAGATTCATCAAGATTTTAGATGTTGAAAAATAACTGCTAATAACTATTACTTTGCCTAGTAACTAGTTACTTTGATTTATCAGTAACTGGATAACAGTCTCAATAACTCTTTGGGAGAAGTAGCTGGTAATTATACCCAGATACTTTATGTAAGTAATGTTCCCAACCCTGAGTAGAAGTTATTAAATTTT